CAACAGCACGCGTCATCTGCACCGTCTACGGACGAGACGACAGTCTCACGTCCAGATCAGCAGACCACGCCGCCCTTGACTTCGGATGAGGTTGCAGGCTCACGCGACGCGAACGAGACTACCGTCTCACGTTCCGGTCGCCGAGTACGGTTACCCGTACGCTTCCGCGACTAGCCGCACAGTTAAAAAACGATACGGTGTAGGATTATTCCTATACTACACGCATGCTACACTCTTCTCTTTTTTGATTTTCTTTTTGTTTCCTGAGCCCACGCCTTCGACCATCTCCGTTTGGTTCCGTCGACTTCAGTCAACTTTGGCGAAAGCTGGCCTGATCACCCACGCTCTTGTCAACGTACTCAGTCGATATCTTCGTTTCGAATGTTTGGCACACGCTTGGTCTCGAACTTGGTCGTTATGGTCGCTTCTGGTTCATCGGATCAACGTGGTTTCGTCCTACGTCTGCAGCGTTTCTGGTCCGGACCCCTACGAACGCCATTTTCAGATTCTGGATACAAACCACTCTGGTGTAGCATGCCAACTCAAGCAATAAATACAACACATCGCTCCTGGTACCGTTCTCCGAAAACGACCTTCGTTGGCAACTCGACGATCAACGATCGCTTTCCTGTTCGCCAATTCTTCCGTCCTACAATCGCTCGTCAGCCGATCAGTCCCACGATTCAAACCGCTATTTATCGAAAGTGTAAACCCTTTCTAGCGGGGGGCTCCTGTAGTGACTCACGTTTATCACGAGAACACGACTGGTTTAATAAAAACAATTATTATTATAACCAACTGTACCAGTGTTTGTTTTAATGTGCTTTTGTTTGACTGTGCTAATGACAGCTATTTCGTGCTTCCATTCTTATACTTACACTTCGATTGTAACTTCGCGCGAATTCGGTTACCTTCTGTAACCAAGGTTGTATCCTGGCACGATCTCGGTATCCTTTCGATGCCACGAGATCGCCAGCAAATATAACTCGACTTGGTCCATTAATTGCCTTCTGGTATTCGGCTTCTCGGGATTTTATGGAGTCATTTGGAACGAGCTTCTTACGCCTTCTGATCTATTTGGCACGTGTTTCTTGGTAGCGGTGTTCATAGTTAATCACAACTCGACGCCACGCGACTGGTTTAATAAAAACAATTATTATTATAACCAACTGTACCAGTGTTTGTTTTAATGTGCTTTTGTTTGACTGTGCTAATGACAGCTATTTCGTGCTTCCATTCTTATACTTACACTTCGATTGTAACTTCGCGCGAATTCGGTTACCTTCTGTAACCAAGGTTGTATCCTGGCACGATCTCGGTATCCTTTCGATGCCACGAGATCGCCAGCAAATATAACTCGACTTGGTCCATTAATTGCCTTCTGGTATTCGGCTTCTCCGGGATTTTATGGAGTCATTTGGAACGAGCTTCTTACGCCTTCTGATCTATTTGGCACGTGTTTCTTGGTAGCGGTGTTCATAGTTAATCACAACTCGACGCCACGCTACATTGGTGACCCAAAGTTTGGAACACGCCTCAACTTCTGATCAAATCTTCCAAAGAAGCCAATTCGGTGAGTCTATGATTTATCTATCCACGTCTGTCGTATATTTTCATATTTTTTAATATATAATATACGCGACATGACGGATAACGATAAGAATAGTATTAATATAATAGACTCACACGTATGTGTACCGAATCCTTGTCACTTTTTATTCGCGTGATGATGAATTCCACGCTTTATTCGAGAAATGTTACCCTATTAACTATTCTCCTCGCTGACCCGGCTGCTTGGTACGGAATGCATACGCATGAGCATATCCGTCTACCACACAGCACCAAATGGTTAAGTAAACGGTTTCACTGCCAACTTAAAATGCTCTACGAGCACACGAAAATGGCAACTGGCACGAAACCTTACCGCTCGTTCTTTTAGGGATCAGAACGAGCTTAAAGGCAGATATCCAATGTTCCGCCCTTGAACTTGTATACGGCACGACATTGCGTCTGCCCGGAGAATTCTTCACACCACGGAGCAGACCTAATTTCGGTAAATCAGACAACGTCCGTCGACTGTCTGCATTTATGTGAACGCTGTCTCCGGTGTCAACTCGAATACAACATCGACAGGTCGCTCTCCCTCGAGAGTTATCTACCTGTTCACATGTTTTTGTACGAGTAGATTCGGTACGCAAACCTTGGCAACAACCTTACGAAGGCCCTTTTCACGTGATCGCTCGTCACGAAATGACCTTCAAGGTTGATCGACATGGCCGCGTCGAGATCGTCAACATTGATCGTCTCAAACCAGCACACGTCGATGACAGTGCCCTATCTGACAACCTGAGATTCAATGCTAGACCTAGCAAACCTACTAGCGGGATCCTCAAATCATCTTCAGGTCCCACGCTAGATACATCTGAGACCTCATTCTCACGTCCCAGTCAACAGCACGCGTCATCTGCACCGTCTACGGACGAGACGACAGTCTCACGTCCAGATCAGCAGACCACGCCGCCCTTGACTTCGGATGAGGTTGCAGGCTCACGCGACGCGAACGAGACTACCGTCTCACGTTCCGGTCGCCGAGTACGGTTACCCGTACGCTTCCGCGACTAGCCGCACAGTTAAAAAACGATACGGTGTAGGATTATTCCTATACTACACGCATGCTACACTCTTCTCTTTTTTGATTTTCTTTTTGTTTCCTGAGCCCACGCCTTCGACCATCTCCGTTTGGTTCCGTCGACTTCAGTCAACTTTGGCGAAAGCTGGCCTGATCACCCACGCTCTTGTCAACGTACTCAGTCGATATCTTCGTTTCGAATGTTTGGCACACGCTTGGTCTCGAACTTGGTCGTTATGGTCGCTTCTGGTTCATCGGATCAACGTGGTTTCGTCCTACGTCTGCAGCGTTTCTGGTCCGGACCCCTACGAACGCCATTTTCAGATTCTGGATACAAACCACTCTGGTGTAGCATGCCAACTCAAACAACAAATACAACACATCGCTCCTGGTACCGTTCTCCGAAAACGACCTTCGTTGGCAACTCGACGATCAACGATCGCTTTCCTGTTCGCCAATTCTTCCGTCCTACAATCGCTCGTCAGCCGATCAGTCCCACGATTCAAACCGCTATTTATCGAAAGTGTAAACCCTTTCTAGCGGGGGGCTCCTGTAGTGACTCACGTTTATCACGAGAACACGACTGGTTTAATAAAAACAATTATTATTATAACCAACTGTACCAGTGTTTGTTTTAATGTGCTTTTGTTTGACTGTGCTAATGACAGCTATTTCGTGCTTCCATTCTTATACTTACACTTCGATTGTAACTTCGCGCGAATTCGGTTACCTTCTGTAACCAAGGTTGTATCCTGGCACGATCTCGGTATCCTTTCGATGCCACGAGATCGCCAGCAAATATAACTCGACTTGGTCCATTAATTGCCTTCTGGTATTCGGCTTCTCCGGGATTTTATGGAGTCATTTGGAACGAGCTTCTTACGCCTTCTGATCTATTTGGCACGTGTTTCTTGGTAGCGGTGTTCATAGTTAATCACAACTCGACGCCACGCTACACATTCGTTGTTCTATAATAGATCTATACTATGTTAGTGGTTATAGTGTTAGAATATACTTCATACCAAATCCATCAACGTTTCATAAAGGTTTTAATGGAACCGTTGTTATTATTCATCGTAATCTTGAAACAATAAATCTCTTTAACAAATCAGGAACGTGTAACAAGAAAGCAGAGTTCGTCGGTGTTATGCAGCGTCAGTGAAGTAAAACCCGGACGGTTATATAACACATCGTCTTTTCAGGATAATAATTATAAAAACTAAGATTCCGATTAGGCTCAGAAAGAAAACAACAGCAATGATAAGTTGCTGGATAACTTATCTAAACACCCTAGATATTAGTTTATTATTGGTATTAAAAGATAGGGTGAACGAAAACACGTGTCTTTAAACATCGAAATGTAGTCTAAATTCTAGCATATTGATTGAGTTGTTACGTTTAACCGAAACATAAAACAACCTCGCCTGCGCTGGTATTTGCCTGGCTCAACTCGGTGTGTCAGACTGATACTGTGTAGTGCGTAACTTATTCAGCCTTCAAGAATTCAAATTCAAGTGGTTCCTTGGCCTGGCCTAGTATATAATATGTAAAGCCTAAACAAGTGAGATTAGTGAGGCAAATATGGTAGACAGGGATATTGACAGAACACTAAAGGGCTGCCGTGTGTGTTTATCTAATGTCCATGTCTGAAACCAAGATGCTTCCTTGTGGCCGTGTAGTTTGTCAAGTTGGATGGAGCCAAGGTAAGGAGCATCCTCGTTCTTATTAAGTGCCTTGTTAATGACCATATCAATGGAGACTATCTCATGATTAGTTCTTTATATTAATGCTGAGATACGAACCTTTTCAATTAAAAGCTAATCATATTATATTAAATAGTTCGTGTTTTTTTCACTACAATGCGATTACGACTGTGTTGTTAGAATATCGTTGCAATGCTCTTTAATTCTCCAGGCGGTCAGAAATGCATTCACCTTTCTCACTGCCAGTTGCTGCATATGGAATGCTCTCCCTGATTCGTTGTCGCAACCCCATCAGTGGATACCTTCAAGTTGATACTGGACACACATTCGCTCACCCACGGATTTTCATCTTCCACTTTGACCATCTGTGTCTGGTTCATGCCTCATGATTTACTTGCTGTCTTTTGTTGCCTCATACCAGTGACTAATTTTAGTTTTGCTCATTATCATCTGCGTTTCTCTCTCGTTCTTACGATTCTGTTATCCCACAATTTATGCATTATCAAGTAATTGACTTATTTTTATATTCATTTCTTGAAATAATAGGTTTATTTTAGCAATAGAATTATCACTTCATTATTTTCATATTGCAATCAACTGCTTTACACAAACAAGTGAAAAACAAATTGGGCATCGTATTTTTGAGGAAAGCATATTGTTTAATGAGCGTTGATACATGAGCCCGCTCATTAAGGAACTGAAGGTTGTATCAATGGCAACGGTTTAGGGTAGGCACAACCTTTGATTTAGAATTGTTGATTGATTGATTGACTGGATTAATATCTTTCATTGAGCAGTTGCAGTTTATCGGAAGCCAGTTGAGCAGACAATTTATAAATATCTTTGGGAGTTTACCTTAACGGAGATTCCATCCGGCTGGTCGAGTTGTTCATTTCATTTTTGGTGAACCTCTAAAACAAGCATTTATATCTCAGTGTGCCTGGATCAACGTTAATGGTGTCAAACGTGAGGTATCAACCTGGAACTGAAGCTAAAGTCTGGTACCATAGAACAAAAACTATGTTTGATATCAGTGCTGAGATAAACAGCTAAACCACAAATCCAACCCATCTAGAAAATAGCCTTCAGGCAAATCTTTTTTTGTTTATGGGATTCAGAATGTCGAAAATGCTCAATGAATTTTCCCAGGCACCCTAGAGTGTCTACCTCAAAGGTAGCTCCTTTTTACAGGATGGTAAAAGAGCTAAAACTCTCAGTATTGATATTCTACCATCAAAAACATAAATGTTCAGTTTACTGAAATGAGTTCAGTATTCAAACCTGTTAAACATCCTGTTTTGTTAAAAAGAAGCTTCATTATTCTAGGCAAAGTGAAGAAGAAAAGTCAACTTCTTTCATTGGACGTTTTCATGTACTGGAAACATCTGGAAGTCTCAATGGTGTATAACACTTTAAAGAACCGTAGTTCTGGGCCACCTTCAGAAATAATCGGAGGTGTGAGTTGGTAAGGTAGTTGTCCATGGCTCTTGTGGAAATTCTTCATAATAATAATAGATAGAGTTTTATATTTTTGTTACGAACCAGACTATTCGAGACAACTAGTAATTCCACAGTTTATAGTCTGTGGTGTCTTTGGCATAGTTCATAAAAACTTGGGAAACGGAGGCCAAATAAAATGTCGGAGGCAGTCAGACGTAAATATTTGTGGCCAAAACAAAGGGAAATCATACAGAATATTTTCAGAGCTTGAAAAATTTAACAAATGACCAAGGGCTCAAAAGACAACCCGCACACCATTAGCAGTTGTGAAACCAGGTTACCTCGACAAGATAGTGGGAATCGATATTATTGGGACATTACAAGAAACCAACAGGGAGAACAATCACATTCTGATTATGGTTGATCACTTTAGGAATTAGTATGAGGTAATTCCCCTAAGTAGTACAAATGCTCAAACTGTCTACCGGACATACACCTAATTTGTTATAGATAAAAAGAGATGTGAGGCCTCCAGCTGAATTGTCGACAAAACTAATGCATCAAAAACCTTTATTGGAGTGAGACACTGTCGTGAAGCTTCGAGAGGATGTTTCGAAGTGTCATCATATGGCTTGCGTACAGTTAGGTGTGACGCAAAAGCATCAGAAAAAGTACTACAACGAGAAAACTTATGGAATAATCTTACAACCAGGAGAAAACGTATGGTTAAAACCAGAAGACTCACCGGCAGGGACACTTACTAAACTACATAATGAACACGTCCTTATGAAGTACCTAGAATCTTAACAAAATCTACGTGTGAAATCAAAGACATCAGAGGCGACTCTTGGTACCTATGGTCGTTCATTATGACTGCCTGAAACCGGCGTATGACTACATAGAATATATGATTAACCAAAGTTTTCACCTAAGTTAATTTTTAAAAAATGATTTACGATTACGTTCTGTTTAACTTGTTACAGATCCCAAAGTAAGGGAGGAAAAATACTTAGTATCCTGGTGTTATTTTATATTACGTTTTGTGTCCCGAACTGTTGTACAGTCCGGCATTCCTGTCAAATTACTGATTCTGTGTTCCTGTTGAAATATTATCGTACTCTTTTTGGATTGTCGTTTCTTTTCCTACTTGGAAGGAGAATCAATTTCTTTTGTGGAGATTATTGAAAGCCATTGAGGACAAAGTTTAAAGGAGTCAGAAGCGGTGTAATATTAACAACACGGTAATATAAAAACATCTGATTTAATATTATGATTGATTAGTTGTATCGGTACCTTTAATTGAGAATTTGCAGTCAGTTGGAAGCTAAATGAACATAGGATCTCGTCGGGGGGCCTACTCCAACGGCAATCCCAGCCAACCGACGGAGCTGCTCATTACCAGGCTTTGGTTATTTCAAACCAGCCTTCATTTTGCTTCTCGCTTGCATCAAGTAGCTTACCTAGTCATAGACTCTTGATCACTTTAATATCAGTAGCTTATTTGTTTAACCTGATTTCCATACTAACTACCTGGGTTTTCAGTATGTTAGGAAAAGAATCGTTTCTTTGCAACAAAGCAAAGTTACTTATTTTAGAGAATAATACTAGGGCTAACCTATACAGTTATTTCTCCTTAAAGTAATTTAGTTATAGGAACTACATCGTCCGCCCAAGGTGTCTGACAACCCCAGAAATACCTCTGGAGTTCATAATATTGTGATCCAGTAGATTAAAAGCTAAAACTTTGAGAAAAGTTTTGACGAAGTCTAATTTTATAGTTCCGGCCAAACGCAACGGTTTATTTCAGAAAGCGTGTAGATAAAGACCGAGATCACGTTTTAGTTGGATACAAAAAGTACTACAATATGCACGATTCGAATTGGTCTACAAACACTAATTGTAGACACATCATCGGTCTGTGTTAATTACGACGAAATTTGTTTGTTACCAGCTGTATGATCTCTCACGTACAACTTGAGCATCGCATGCGCTTAGGTCTACATGTAAATAGTTTTTGTCGTTCTAAAACAAGAAAATAGGCCTCACTGATTAAAACTCCAGGTTCATAGTATTAACTAAAGCTTAGTTTTTCATTCAGATTGTATTTGCAGTTGTAGTCTCTTTATTCGGCTGTTTGTGTAGTGGAATCTAGTTTTTGAGGTTTACATGGTACAGGTGCAGCGATAATTTTAAACGTAAAATTTCTTGAATTGATTTGAATATTCTTTATGCTGTCCACTTAAACTAATGTGATGAAAACCTTAGAAAAACTAGCAAATGCTTTTTCAGAAGGAGGTTTTGTAGAGATTTTAGTAATTTAATAGTTGAATTCATGAGTCAATTGAAGCTAGAGGACCATGGAAAACCTGGAAGCACTGGAAGACCGTTTCGTCATAGTATGGTACTCCCCTGATAGGTCCCGGATTCGAATCCTGCGGTCGGGATCGTGGATGCGCACCGATGGGGAACCCTCACATTAGGACAAAACGGCTGCCAGTGCTCCCAGGTTTTCCATGGTGGTCTAGCTTTAACTGACTCATGAATTCATCTATTAAAATACTTTTTCGTTTATTGCCTTGGCATTTTAGTGAATTGATTCTAGTTCTAGCAAAATGAAAATTTAGTCCTTTTAAAATCTCTCAAGTATTTTGTATAAGGAAAGGTACATATCCAGTATTTTCAGTAAACAACTCCACTCCCGACTAGAATATTTAGTTCAAATATCAAGACTTTTACATAACACCCATAAGTATCTAGATTGATCTGATAATTAATATATTTCACATACTACATGGTAAACATATCACAATATGTTTGTGACTACTTTTCCCAACTTCTGTTATACGTAATAATAAAGTTTCTGAATCAATGGAAAGGTTTAACTTTAAATGTCTTAAACCAGGCTATCCTCTGGTAAGATGACAATGACTTCTTACAATCAATCTGCTTTTCGTCATTTGCTTAAGCGAGCTATCTACTTGGACCACTATTTTCTTAAACCTAGTATTAAATGTACCTGTTATGACAAACAAGTTAGTGATTTAATTATATCACAAGTAATATAGGCTCCGTAACCTTTTGTTTTCGGTTTGCTTGTGTACTAAGTGTTAAGAGTCAAGTGTAGTTAAAAAATTCCGTAGGGTATCAATCACCAAACATCTTAGTTAAGTATTTCTGTATATTAATTGAATAAATACATCACTTTCATCTTTTCTAGATTCACTCAAACTTTTTTTTGTGCTAACGACTAGCTCTGCTTCTCAATGGTCACTAGTCGACTGTATTTTGTATTGTTTGTTTGCATTTCGAGTGCATTTACTTCTGGTAAGCAAATTTCTGTTTTACAGTTGTTTTTAACTACAGATTAACTGGTTTTAAATTTAACCGAGAAAAGCAGCAACAATCATTAAAACACATTTTGGTGTGGCAATTACAAACAAAATACTTAATCGGAGAGATTATAATTTATGGACGAACCAATCAGATTTAGGATAACAGGTATTGGATTTTGGCGCGAAATTCATCCACCTATTCGTCTAAATAACGTCTTAGCATTTTAGCTGAAGTCAGTTCGTCATGAAAACCATAAATTTAAATCCTAATCCTTACCATCAACTGTAAATTACTATCTTTATTCCTCAAACTGCTTTATAGCCTTCATTCAGCCTTATTAAGTAGGTAGACACTCTCAAGATCACGTTGGCGTCACTCAAAGGTCGTCCATAAATTATAGTCTCATCACTTAATCCTTCAAAACAATAAGTTGTCTATTTTCCTTGACTACATTTGGTTATACATGGGGAACTGTGCTTTTGACAGAATTAGTATATACAATAACCTAGCAATTTAAAAAATACTAGAAAACAACTAGTTCTATCCTAAAACATATATTTTCCCATATTTATTCACTTGCTTTTGTTAGTGAGAATTTCATTATTCCGATGAAGAATCCATATCAACTGAAGAGGCTGAGACTTGTTAAATGTGGGCGAACACTTCCTACGTCGACACATAATGTTTTCTGATGTATTAATAGTTTCTCAAGGAACTTAGAGGCTTACAAACCAAAATGTGGTATTCACCCATGAAGTTATTGACAGTTAATGTGAGCCATGCGTATCACGGCCAGTGCTTGAAGACTGATTAACATGATTCAGAATCGGTCGCGATAGCATAAATGCATTCACTCTTTGCTTTCCTTTAAATGTAGTTTCAAACTATTTTATATCTTTTATTCCGTGACTTCATCGATTTTCCTTCAATCAAATTGTCAGTGCCTAATTTTTTATCACTGAAACTACTGCTTCTATCGCTTGTTTATTCATCTTGATAATTTAATCTTTCTGTTTTAACGTGATGTGGTGATTTGAACAGATGGATATATGTAACGGGTTCTATTTTGTTTATGAGTGAGTGACCGACTTCCCAACCAGGATATTTTTACAACATCTCAAATATTATACATTTATTCTGAGTATTCAGCTAAGAGAGTATGTTCAAAAATTTATAGAATATGTGACCGTTTCTTTGAAAGATGTCTTCAAGAATCCCATTATTTAATAAGTTGTTATTATATACGTGTTTTAACTTGTAATTCAAGCACCAACTGCTTATAATCCTAAAAAAAAACGTTTTGACATGTTCAATATCCAAATGATTTAACATTAATTAATATAACTTGAAAATAGATTATTTCCATACATAGTGTTATAACTGTTTTGATTGTATCAATCTTATTTATGTAGGATTAACATTTGGATTTTCATCAGCAACTACACTTCAAATTTATTTCGACTCTACTTGGATAGCAGTTTTTGCTGGTTTATTAAATGCAGGTGGAATAATTGGATCTTTGTGGTCAACGTGGCTTATTCGTCATTATGGACATTGTCTTACATTATTTTTTTCTTATGGTCTATCTGTCATAGGATGGATGTTACTGTATTTTTCATCGTCAGCTGTCTACGAACGATATTCACCAACTGTTCAATTAGTATTAGGACGTCTAATAACCGGTTTAGGATGTGGATTAACTTTAACTACTAATGTAATTTATATCTATGAGATAATTCCATCATCATGGAAAGTATTGATGGGATCATTGTTTCAAGTTGGTATAACATGCGGAATTGTTGCTGATTATGCACTTGCAATTTTTTTAAACTGGGATACTATTTCTTTGGTTTTCGCTTTGGTTATTTCATTTGTTGCCGTTTTAACTTATATGTTACCCGAATCTTCTGAATGGTGCGTTAAAATGGGTAATTTGCAATCAGCTGAAGCATCTCATTATTGGTTGCATGGAAACGTAAGTGACTGTGAGGTCTACAAATTTGTTTAAAATAAATAATGTTCTAAAAATATTATAATTACAGTGTAATGAATAAAGTTTGATTGTATACATCTCATAATTGACAGTATTACACCTTTGTGCAACTGTTTACTTGGTTTTTTGGCGTCTATTAAGTAAACCATAATGGACAAATATTTTTGAGATGCAATTATAACCATGAAATTATTGATCAAATAATGACTTCATTGTTGAGTATCTAGTTTTCTTCGAGCATCTCGTGTTGAGATAGAGATCATCTAATGTTATCGATGAATGAAAACCTAACCATTACAATAGTTCTTGTCTCTATATCTATGCAATCCAAAGCGTATAGTCGAAAAAAAGTTTGCATTATTAACTTATTCCCGGGTACCTGGGTATGAGTGGCGCTCTAAGTGTAAGGGGGCCATTAATACTCACCCAGCTGCTCAAAATGGAATAGTTGGTGATGAGTACAGTCAGCCAATAACAAAGTCTGAAACTGTTTACTGGATTGTTTTCTTTATTCTCTCTCTCTCTCTGTAAAGGTGTTAGTTTCCACTAAGGGTCTACTATTTTCTGTAATTTCAACTTTATCCATCATAAAAGTTATTTGCGCAAACGCTGGCGTAAAACAGAATAAAGCTAAAGAGAATCATATGTAGTTGAATCTGTGAATGTAGTTACCAAAGTATATTTCGAAAAATCTTTCAAAGTTAACATATATATATATATAAACTGATGTTATTATCAAATTTTTTTTGTATTTCAATTTAGGAGATACCTTTTAAACAAAATGGGAATAATTTAACGATCAATGGAAATGTTTCTCATGATATATCAGATCTTAGCACAAAGTCATACACTGGTTCTTTTCATGTATTGAATGATTCAAAGTCTAAGCTTCGTACGATTTTTATATTAATAACATTTCAACAATTAACAGGGATGAGTGCTATAATCTACTTTGCTGAATCTGTTTGCCTATTTGGTGGGCTAGTATCATATCAATGTGGATTCAAGATGGGATTATGTCTATTTATTTCTAGTATTGTATCAGTATTTGTGGTTAGAAAATTCTCCTGGAAAAAGCTACTACTAGTTGGTGCTGTAATTCTGGCTTTATCCCATCTGTGGTTCTCACTAACGGTATCAGTGAGTGACCAGTTTATAGAATATAATGTCGTTCTTTTTTATTTATTATTTATGATCTTTAAGAAATCTTTGTCATAGAGTAACAGTGATACTGTCAAATTAATCAAGTTGTTAGTTAACGAAGTGGATCTAGTTAAATATCGTCAGAATTCAGTCCTTTCATTTTTTCTGATATCCATGATATTATTGCGTAAACGAGTTTTCTTATTATGAACTAAGATAGATAGTGGCTAGCAGCAGAATCCAGGATGTGCGTTTCGTTCTATTCAGAACTTGTCATCTGGATTCACTTGTATCCCGAGGTTGATGTTCTCTCTGGGACTCGAATTCAGTGCCGCTTGCTTTAAATATTGTCGCATTGTCCACTTAGCTACCGATTTCAGATAGCCACTAGCTTGTGCAAGTACATCCGGCTGACGAGTCAAAAATGGGACGAAACACTTTACAGCCGCCATCCGTGACTTAATGGCAATATGGAAGCAAACCCAAACGACTAATCAATTTTAGTCCTAAAAATCAATGAAAAGATTCAAATAACCAATACAAATAAAGTCTTCTCATTATTCATAGGTAAATATACCATACTGGCGGTGGGGTTTGGAAGTGAAATATGCCTACGGATACATTACATCCAGTATTAATGTACCAGGATAATAATGTTAAGCATAGAAGAAAAAGAAATATTGGTCTACTTGACTTCATTCTGCATTAGTCATACACTTTTGAGAAGTTGAGGAGAACATGTGAAAATTCTTGAGTCGTACTTATCCTTGATTTATGTATATGTGAACATATAATTCTTCACCAGACACGCTAGAAATTATTTAATACATCTGTGGTATATGCTATTTATGTTGACAAATATAAGCAGTATGTAGCAGTAACTGGAAGTGAAATGTTTGCCAGCAAAAGATTGAATTGAAAAAAACAGGAATGGAAACAGAGAGCAAAAGGAATAATGATCGAATTGGAAGAATCATGAAGTATGGAAAGGGGAACTGAAGGAAGACGTGCAAATAATGTATCCAATGTATGATTTTCAAATTCTCCAAACCACTGTGTAATTTTAGTTTTCCTCACCTGCGTTTTCGTGCACTTCACATCTAACATTCCCTTTTGATCCTCTGTTAGAATAAATCGATTAACAACAAGAGAGTATAATCTTTAATAAAATGTCGTTTTCTTCAGTCAAATAAACGTGGATGCAAGTTTCAACGGAAATCAGTGTCGGGTGTGCGGCAGTTGTTTACCGAAGACAATGGAAGATTGTCGCGCAGTATCATGAACCAGTTGAAGTTAGACATTAACACCATTGAATACCACCGATTCAGTGGTCTAGAGACTAGGCGTTCGCGTGCGAGACTGAAGGCCCTGGGTTTGAGTACCATGCTCGTAGTCGTGTATGCGCACTACTGAGTAGTCCCATGCCAAGACGAAACGGCCTTCCGGTACTTTCAGGTTTTCGATTGTGGTCCAACACTGACCGATTCATGATCTCAATCAAAACTCAATAATCTTCACAACCCTATACTGAAATTAAGTAATCGAATAGTTTTGAGGAAGCATAATTTACATTGTTTTCTATATTTTACTATTCTGACTTATTTACTGAAGGTTCCTTTTCTTTACCACAGTAATCAAATTTATGGATATAAAAATGTACAACGAATATCGTTCGTAATAGATAACTTTCATTCAGAAAATAATGATCTAGTCTAATGTTCCCGTATTTTTTGATACAATATGATTGTAAAATTCTTATTAATTACAATTGCTGTCACATAGCCAATGTCTTTCTATTTCATTCAGTGAGAAATATTTGACTATCGACTTAAAATGGACAATTTGAAAATATTTCTTAAGAGTCATATATACAAATTAGTGTACATATGTTTCTTCATTTAATTAACGAAATAAACTTCCTCCCTCACTCTTCATCTTTTCTCTCTCAAGTGATCAAGTTTTTATGTATCAGTATCAGCTGCTAGACATTGTGTCACAAGAGTGGGAGTTGAACTGGTGCACAAACATATCAGGTTTTACGTTGCTTGTATCTGAATGACTGATTTTAAGTAATATAGTCTGTTTAATCAACTAAGCTGGGAATAAGGATCTATTTATAACACTAATCTTTTTGAATCGGAAAATTTTGACCATCACACTATGGCCTAGCTATCTAAAGATGTATAGTCCTCATCGCGAGGTCTGGAGTTTCTAGGTTTTAAATCGTGTAGAGTTTTAGGTATGAACTGCATCGAAACACCTATCTAATTATCCTTGGCTTTATTCAGATCTCTAGTTGACGTCGATTTTGCATGACAACTTTCTTTAAACTATCCGAATCTCCTCAAAACATCTAAGTAAATTATATATCCAACTTTCAGAAGGCCCCTAAATGCCCTGGTATGGCTGAGAGTGAGATGGGTCCGCCCTCCCTCTCGAAATGCTCTCACACGGCCACGCGTATACAGCCTCTGTCAGGGAAGTCCTAATCACTGCCTTCTCGAGCCGGGCGTGTTGTTTACGAAAATAAGAGGACAAAAAGCGAATGTCTGGCGCTTTAACCGGATTCCAAATCAACGGTGCACATGGGCTCTAGTATCCTGCGGGAACAAATGACGTATGAACTAATCGTTGGTCACCGGCTACGATGGGACTGCATCTCCTCACGATGCTCCACTGCCGTGTGGATCAGACCTTTAGGTCGAAGTCTTGGGGTGTGGACCCCTAAGAAAACCACGTACTTCGGTTTGGTCACCCGGGCAGTATCACAGCCCTCACACAAATCTAATGATTTATGTGGTGCATATCTACTTGGTGCCTCCTTGTACCAAAGTTTATGTGTTTAAATAAATAAATAAAGAACTTTCAGAAGAGACTCTGATATTAACTTCTATAAGCCAAACATTCATCTAAAAAATCATAGCCATCGGTATAAGTTGCTGATTTCTGAAATTACTGTATTTCTTCTAAACATAAACAGCTCAAACTTTAAATAAAAACATCATATGATAACCGGAGAATCGTTCAATTCTTAAATTTTCATGATTATCCACCTTTCTTCATGTGTATCATATACCTTTTCAATGAAATAAACTTAAATTTTATTCAATCATTCCATTTTCCTTTTTTTTCTTTTTTTTTTTTAAATTCATTTATAGCAAACTGAAACTTCAATGTCTTCAATGCATCAAGTTTATTTAATTGTATTTGTTATAACTTTTGCATGTAGTTGGGGTCCATTACCATTATTAATAGCATTAGAATCATTTCCAATTATTAATAGAAATTATGTGATTAAATCATCTTTAACAGTTGGTTGGACAGTTTGCTTTTTTGTTACATTTATATTTGAACCATTTATATTATGGACAAGTGTATCAGTTTTATTTGGTATATTCTCATTATGTTGTTTATTATCTTGTGTTTATGTTTATTTTCATATTCCTGATATGAAATCAATGAACACCACCTAATATGTGTTTACCTTTTCTTGGTTAATATCATAGTAATAATGATAATAATAATTCACATATTTAAAGTGAAGATTTTCACTGATATATATATATGAACACTTCACTGTAGTCTTGTTCATTTATTATGTTGGTTAACCGTGACAGCAATTATTTTATTGATTGTACTGTAGAGTGTTGGTTACTATTATTGTTAAGCCCAAATAACTTATTCTAGCTTTTGGACAAACTAATTTATCTATTCTTCTTTGAGTCACATTTTAACTTTGCTAATTATTTACTTATCACAACCCTGCCTGTTTTTTATATGAGCACATATGTGTTTACACACATCTTATCCTATATTCATCACATGTCTGTAACTTATTTTCGTTGGACTATAAAAATATCGATTACCGCTTGGTAAAAAGGGAGTTGGCAAATACGCCTTCTCCACTGTGTGTCCTTTCGTTTCATCCCACTCATTTCCTGTTCACATCAGTGAGTGGACAAAATATATGTATTTAGCAATCTATCCTCGTATTCGACTTATTTAATTCCGTTATTTAAGTTGATAGTTATACATGAGACTAGTTAGGATGTATATTTCGGCAGTAATCATTCAATAACGATTATCTGTCCGATCTAACTAGAGTCAGATCCTAGGTCAATAAAGTACAGAAGTTTTCTTCGTATCTAAATCGATGAAATTCCTTTCTTCGAAATAGAAAATTCATCAATTATATATCTCTCTCCCTGTTTCTCTTTACACTTTTTACAACTAATCTCTGGATTGATATTATATTCTCTTCATTATCTACATATAAATTTAATAGAGTATATATCATAGTACTTAGTTAAGTCGCAGTAATTGTATTTTATATATTCATCATCTTGGCATTTATTCTAGTGTAAGTTCTTTTAAATAATAAAACATGAGTAATACATAAGTAAATAATTAATTTCACAGGTTGAAATCACGAGTCAGTTGAAGCTAGACCACCATTGAAAACCTGGAAGCACTGGACGGGCGTTTCGTCCTAGTGTGGGACTCCTCAGCAGTGCGCATCCACGAACCCGCCCCCCACGGGAGTCCTATACTAGGACGAAACGGCCGTCCAGTGCTTCCAGGTTTTCAATGGTGGTCTAGCTTCAATTGAATCATGATTTCAACCTGTGAAATTTCCTAAAAATCTCTACAAAACTCATTCTGAAAATAATTAATTTTAAAATTTTCACTACTGTTATATCCTAGTGAAGAACAAATTACAGGTAACTTCCGAGGACTATTAATGGACCAATATTCGTACTGTATAATTATTCAGTAATTAGATTATGTATATTTATATTCCCCTTATTATAAGCTTCATTTTGACCTATAATTTATTATTATACGATTTACTGTCCCTAAATTATGCTCAGTTTATCAACTACTGTCTCCCACGTTCACAGCCACTTTTTGGCTTTGTTGTGTACACATGTTATTTCCTATTTTATGGTGTGTTGCGATCTGTTTGCTTGATATATGAACACAGTATGTTTGAAATATATGATTCGCATATTGGAAGCTGATATTGTTGTTCTGGTATCAAGTGGACGGGTTAGGCGGACATAGGACCAATAAGGACGCTAGGCTGCTCATACCTCTTGAACGTCATTGGTTTGGCACAGTGTTAAGATTGTATAAGTCGTATTTTGATTGGTGGATAAATCATGTGGTAAAAAGCTGGACATAAAGCCATAACAACTACATTATCATTAAATAACTAAAAATAGATTATTAAAATATATGTACACTGTCACTACTACTACTAAAACTTCATCTTCGATTTTCAACGGCATAGTAACAACCTAAGTAGGAAATTAACATCTAACTTATAAATTTTTTCCTAAACTAAAAAGATTGTAACGCATATACAGCAAAGGGGGACAGTAACTAGCCCTAATAGGTGAATTTCAGAATTATTCAAGAATGGTAATCTGACATTATATGTTGGATTGATTCTTGAGTCAAGGTTTATAAGTTACATATCATCTCATATGACTGGTTGTTATTATTCCAATCTACAAGAAAGAAAGAAAATCATCTTGAAAAAAAACTCACTTTGAATGCCGTTATTTCAAAAATCTTAACGTCTCTAGTCCTAAAAGTATTAAACTTGAATAATCCAAGATAGTTTCGTGATTTATCTTAGGCCATAAATGTTTTCATCGTAAAGTCCTGGAACATAAACCAAATTTAATTCAATTAGCTGCTTTCTACCAGATGAATATGCCGTTTGAAGTCGGTGATCACAAGGTATAATGTTCCAGTGTATATCACCATAACATGTATCGAAAAAATACACAATTTACTGGTAATTGTTTATTCGAAAACTAATTGTTGAATTTGAGCTTACAACATAATATTTGAATGAGGTGTGATAAGCAGTATCCATCATGGTTGTTTGCCATACTAATTCTTATTCTGCGTTATGAATATATTCCTGTTGGGGTGATCCAGAAAATTTCTTGCAAAAGACAAGCAAGGATCAAGAAAAACTGAGAAGCATTTCATCCAATGAGCGTTCAGTTGAAGTTTTAGCCAAAAGTATCAAGGGAGTGTAACGTCACATGTAGACGTTCTGATTGCTATACTGCTACTATTTTTAGCAGCATCTCAGAATCTTTGAGCAACTCAAAACATTTAAAATATTATAAAAACCCTGTTTTCTGCATTAAAATGAACATTTGGGGTAAGTACTTCTCGCATACTTTGCGCCTTCTCTCTCGTGTTCAGGTCGCTGTGTAGTTCTAGCTTGGGGGTTACAGAACAGCTTAGGAAACGAATATAGCGTTCAATTTGCAAAACTTATCAATTCCTAAGGATAAATGCTTCAGAGTATGTTTTTACAGTATTCACCTCCTACCTTGGGACGTTTTCATCACCTTAGAGTACTTAATGTTTGTAGTTTTTTTGAGAAGAATAAAGAGATGCCAAGTTTCCTGGACACCTTGAATTGTCATAACCCAAGAATGTTTAAGACGCATTTTTTTTTCTCGACCCGAAATGTTACTTTAGGTTTGATCTGCAGTGATTTCTACCATGATAAGAGAGACTTGAGTAACTGAGCATGTTAATCACTTTACCTACCCAATTAATCAGAGTAGACTAGTGACTGAGGAAACCTTCAACAAGCTTCCAAAAGACTCTCTTTTGCACTAATCTACCATTTTCTGACGAGGTATGGTTCTCCCCTGTGTACTAAGCAATAGTCCGCTTTATGCTACTATACATCTGTATAAAATAACTTCTCTAAGTAGCTAAGTGGATAACGAGGTGGCGTTTGAAGCGAATGGTACTGGGTCCAAGTCCCGGATTGAACATTAACTCTGGGGTGCGGGTACATCCAGCTGACGAGTGTCAAATGAGACGAAACGCGTGTCCTGGATTCAATTGCTACCACCATCCATCTTTGCTTATAAATAACAGTTCCAATATGTTTTCATAGCATTCCTTTTTTACGAAGAAACAAGTGGTCGTTAATGTTGAAGTGTGCCATAAGGTAAAATATAGTAATGGTAAATCTGTTGATGAGTCTATAGTCTTTCATCGAGTTAGGTGGTTAGAATATGCTCTAAGTATATCTTCATTCTATGTGTCATGCATGTTATTACGTACTGGTCAATTTGTTTTATCGGTCAAATCGCCTATGATATGTTTTGTTTCATTATGATCCCAAAATACTATTTTCACTTAAATGAATAAGTTTTTATGTACTGTCTTATTAGTTATTAAATATGTCAGAGTTCATTATAGCAACATAGATACAGTTGAATACTTTCCAATACGATACTTCGGTAATAATATATAGACTTCCAACCTTCTATTTTTGTATCTAAACTCTTTCCATGTAAAATTCTTGTAATCATACAACCAAATAGTTTTATATGTTATCAAATATAATTAGAATAGAAGTTATTCTTGTTTCATTTTATCTTGGTCTTTAAATTCACAATTAAGCCAAATAAGATAGAATGATTATTGAAAATATCTTATATGGTTGTACCTCTGATTGATGTTACTTCTAAATCTGTTGATTTGTATCCTTATAATGCTGTAGTATTTTGTATAAGTAGTTGTTATATATTGTTCAAGTTGAACATTGTATATTTAAATAAGTAAATATATGATACAAGAGAGTTTTGAAGATTTTACATTCTCTTAACATTCACTGAATTATAATTCCAAACCAATCGATGAAGTATAAGAATAATAATATTGAATAAATTCATTAATAATAATCAAATAGATAAATTAAGAATGACATCGACACATGAATTCAACTATTAAAATTACTATAATCTTCACAAACTTCATTCTGACCATAATTATCATGTGCTTACTAGTAACTGGCTTCAAGATGATTTCTTAAAGTTCTATTGAAAGCCGTGACCAATGGAGTCCAACCCATTTCGGGTAGAGACATGTATCTACCTCAGACAATGGATGAATGGTTGTGCGACCATTCATGGGTCGATGAAAGTTAGACATCAATACCGTTGGATGCTAGCTCAGTGGTCTACAAGTTGGCGTTCGTCAGTGAGACAAGAGGTCCTGGGTTCGAATCCCATGTGCCGGTTCATAGATGTGCACTGCTACGGAGCCCCGTGTTTAGACGAAATGGTCTTTCAGTGCTTCCAGGTTTCCAATAATGGTTTAGCTTATATCGACTCATGATCCAACTATTAAAATTACTACAGTCTCCACAAATCCTATTCTAATCAAAATAAAGAATTAACATAATCGATTGAAATACTCTAACCATAAACCAATGACCATTTGGACTTTAAGCATAAATAAGATCAGTTTCATCATGACAAATCGATATTTTCTTTTTTATATCACTTTATTGTTTAACCATTAAAATATATCATGCAATTGGTTCCCTTTATGATTTTTTGTACACAAAAACAGGAGCTGTTCAAATTCCTGGGGTGGTAAAGGCAGGAGTTCTGGATATTCACATATGATCTCTGCGTTTCTTCCAAGGGGATATTTTTGAAAAGCGAAGAGACATCAAATGAAACCATGAATTTGTCAAAGACATTAAGGTTATCAAGTTTTTGTACAAATTCAAAGCTGTCTTTCAAACTGTAGGGTGCTAGTTTTTTTGCGGATTGGTTCCAAGCATCTAGTAAGCCAGCGGGCAAGTTTATGGAAGGGTGATTTGGCCATCGATAATATTGGTCTTATAGGGATGTCGGGTTTATGTGTTTTGGGTAGCCCATATAAGTATGACAATTGTGACCCTTTTGGTTTAAGTTCGTTATACGTATGATTATCTATTAGATTTTTCTTAACAAGTTCTCTCAACTTTCTTAAGACACGTCTCTCTGTCGCATCTGTTAAGTCTTTCTGGGTATTGTCGATGATAAATCTGGTGGAGTTATTTAAAATGGACATTACCTTATTGATATATTCATCTCTGTTAAGAATGACTACACTGGAACCCTTATCCGGACGAAGTAGCATTATAAGTTATCAATTTGG